TGGTTTTGGGTTTTTTTTTGCAGGGGTGTGGGAGGTGAGTACCCTGGATTGAACTCAGGGGCACACAACCACTTAGCCACATCCCCAGCCCTATTTTGTATTTTATTTTGAGATAGGGTCTCACTGAGTTGCTTAGTATCTTGCTAAATTGCTGAGGCTGGCTTTGAAGTCGAAATCCTTCTGCTTCTGCCTCCTGAGCCCCTAGGATTACAGGCATGTGCCACCGTGCCAGGCTCTTGTGAAGTTTTAACTTGCCTTATCCCTGTCTCCTCTCAGCTTCACAAATCCCAATAGTTACAAATATCAGCAGTCTGGCAGACACTGAAGAAGGTAAAATGGGTTTGGAGCTCCTCAAAGCTCCAGCTCCAGAAAACGCTTAGTGTCTGATCTCCATGATGACTCCCTAAGAACCTCCACTTAAAGGACTTTTCTTTTTCACTTGACTTAGATCTTCCTGTTTGCAAACAGCTTCTCCTGAGGCTTTTATTGAAAATGGCAGCATTTACTTAGTATAACATAGGAAGGCAATAACCACTGGGTCAGAAAGGAAGCAGTTGAAAAATTTGAAAGCAAAATCTGGGGAATAGATTTCCATTTTGACATTGAAAAGATCTGACATATTTCAGGGATGGAATATGTGAATGTGCTCTAGGAAAGACCTGAGAAATCCATAAACCTTCACCTCTGACTCATATCTAGACTCTATGCAAGCAGGAATTAAAGACTAAGTTATTATTGTAAGCTGCCTTCCTATGGTTAAAAGACTTGCTTCAATGCACCTTCAAGAGTCCTTCAGCAAAGGCTAACAAACTTATTTGTAGGAGGCATTTTATTTATTTATTTATTTTTGTAGGAGACATTTTAAAGTCTCTAATTAGCTGACCACTAAGCTCAACAAGCATTTCTGTGGCCAAATACACAGCATGCAAGGGAATACTATGAACAATTATATGCCAAAAATTACATAGATAAATGGACACATGTCTAAAAAGACATAAATTACTGAAAAAAGAAATAGAACTCTATACGGAATAAAGAGATTGAATAGTTTTAAAACTTCCTGCAAAAGCAGACAGTAACAACAACAACAAAAGGCCCAAGCCCAGATCACTTCCGTGGTGAATTTTACCAATCATTTAAAGGAAAATTAGAATTAATCTTCCACAAACTCGTCAAAAAAAGGTGTGTACATAGCTCCTGTCCAGAGCGGCTCCCGACACTACAGTGATGCAGCCACATCAATGTTTATAGCAGTTCAATTCACAATAGCTAAACTATTGTGAATTGGAACCAACCTAGATGCCCTTCAACAGATGAATGGATACAGAAAATGTGGTACATACACACAATGAAATATTACTTAGCCTCAAAGAAGAATGAAATTATGGCATTTGTCAGTAAATTGATGAACTGGAGAATATCATGCTTAGTGAAATAAGCCAAACCCAAAAAACAAAGGCCAAATGTTTTCTCTGATAAGTGGATACTGATCCAAATGGGGGTGGGAGGAAGAATGAAGGAGTTTAGGATTGTGCAGAGGGGAGGAAGGGGAGTAGAGAGGGTATGGGGATGGGATGGATGATGGAATAAGATTGACATTATTACCCTATATATATAAAAGTATTATATATATATATATATATATATATATATATATATATGTATGATTACACTACCGGAGTGACACTGCACCATGTTCAGCCAGAGGAAGGAAAAATTGTGCTCCATTTGTGTACAATGTGCCAAAATGCATTCAACTGTATAACTAATTGGAACAAATTAAAAATAAAACTTTCTGGTTTTCTCTGTTTTTAATTATGATGATGGTGGTGATTAGTATTATTTGGTACTGGGGATTGAACTCAGGGGCTCTCAATTGCTGAGCCACATCCTCAGCCCTATTTTGTATTTTATTTAGAGACAGGTCTCACTGATTTGATTAGTGCCTTGCCATTGTTGAGGCTGGCTTTGAAATTGGGATCCTCCTGCCTCAGCCTCCTGAGCCGCTAGGATTACAGGTGTGCGCCACTGCACCCAGTAAATTCTGATTATTATTGATTGATTCAGTGATTCACACTGAAAGCTAATTTCTTAAAAGTATTATTTTGAGAAGAATGTTTCCTTGATTTGTTCATTATAAAGGCTTAGAAATGGTGACAAACCATGAGACTCCCTATGGGGGTCTCTAAAAACCAATTTGTACCATTTCTTCTTTAAAGGAAACAGAACCCCTTGGAGGAATGTGTGATTCCAGGTCAGGGGCAAGGGATGTTCAAAATGAGCCCAGAACATCTTGTCAGAGATGAGGAAGCTATCAGTGATCACTGAGCAATGTTCAAAAGGACTTGAGCCATTCTCATAGGGTTCCCAATGACTAAAGATTAGAACATTTGAGCATTAATATAATAATAACTGAAACAGATTGGAGTATATCACATGTGTTAAAATGCATATTCTTTAATTTCAAACAAAAGTTTGCAAGGAAACCCAATTCACTAATTAGAAAACTGGAAAATAAAGGAAAGGAATCAAGCATTAGCCGGGCATGGTGGTTCACGCCTGTAATCCCAGCAGCTTGGGAGGCTGAGACAGGAGGATCAGGAGTTCAAGCCAGCCTCAGTAAAAGTGAGGCACTAAACAACTAATTGAGACCCTGTCTCTAAATAAAACACAAAATAGGGCTGGGGATGTGGCTCAGTGTTCAAGTGCCCCTGAGTTCAATCCCCAGTACCAAAAAAATGAAGCATTAATCTTAACATTTTATTGGTGACTTATACCTTAGGATAATCAAATATTAATGTGAAAAAATAATACTACCATTTTGTAACTCCCTAATAAAACAGTCACCTTTCCTGGCCAAAAAAAAAAAACAAAACAAAACCACTAGATGAAAGGTTGATGAGGAACTTTATAAAGGGTGAATCAGACTGGTAGCATCTACCCATCAATTTATTATTTTTTCTTTTTTGTACCAAGTATTGAACCCAGGGGCACTTAACCACTGAGCCAAATCCCCAGCTGTTTTTATTTTCTATTTTGGGACAGAGCCTCCCTAAGTTGCTGAGGGCCTCTCTAACTTACTGAGGCTGGCCTTGAATTTGTAATCTCCTATCTCACTCAGCCTCCCAATTCTTTACCCATCAATTTTAATATCACAAAGAGACAAAGTTGATGTACATATTTTGGGGTGTTTTGGGTTTTGTTTTTTGGTACTGGAGATTGAACCCAGGGGTACTCTACCACTGAGTTACATCCCCTCTTTTTATTTTTTATTTTGTGACATTTTGCTAAGTTCCTGAGGCTGGCCTTGAAATTGTGATCCTTCTGCCTCACCCTCCTGAGTCACTGGATTTACAGGTGTGCACCACCATGCTGGGCAGTATATACTTCTTTATTTTTTGGTAACTAGGGATTAAACCCAGGGGTCCTCAACCACTGAGCCACGTCCCCAGCCCTATTTTTATTTAGAAACAGGGTCTCGCTGAGTTGCTTAGGGCCTCACTAAGTTGCTGAGGCTGGCTTTGAACTTTCAAACCTCCTGCCTCAGGCTGCTGAGCTGCTGGGATTACAGGTGTGCCACCATGCCAGGCCAGTGTACACTTTTTTTGCAGGGGTTGGATACTAGGGATTGAACTCCAGGCACTCACCCACTGAACCACATCCCCACCTCTATTTTGTGCTTTATTTATAGACAGGGTCTCACTGAGTTACTTAGTGCCTCATTTTTTGCTGAGCCTGGCTTTAAACTCGAGATCATCCTGTCTCAGCCTGGGATTACAGGCATGCGCCACCACCCCGGCCAGTATACATTTCTTCATGTGATTTCATAGAAAGTACATAGTACTATCTATGACATCATCTAGCAAAAAAATCCTCTTGAATCTTATCTCCTTCAAAAATCTGTCTTCAAGAAATAAAGGAGTTAGAAGAAAATGGTAGCCACAACATGGTGGTGATGCATTCAGCAAAATATAAAATGAGGGAAGCTCTGTAGGATTGATGACTCTAGTTTTTCCAACAAATACATGACTCCTACCCGTCCCCCCCAAAAGAAAGTTATAAAGAGAGAACAAACCTGTAGATTTTAAAAACTCAGGAAGCATCACTCATATTCAATGTGTGCATTTAGTTAGAACAAACCAACTATTAAAAGGGGGGGGGACCTGGTGATGTAGCTCAGTGCTAGAGCGCTTGCCTAGCATGAGTGAGGCACTGGGTTCTATCCCCAGCACCACCACAATAATGATAACACCCATGAGCCCGTTTGAGAAATTGAATCTTAGTATCATTTGATCATAATATATTGGTATTAAGGAAATATTTTTTAGTTATAGTAATGGTATTCTGGATGTGATTTTAGAAAGTGGTTTTAAGATGCTTACTCAAGTGTTTATTGAATAAATAATATAATGTTTGGAATTTGCTTTATGTAATCCAATAGGGGGTAGAGAATGATTACATTTAGGTGAAAAATATTTATTGGCAGGTATTGATAATTGTTGAAACTGGGTGATGAACATGTAGAAGTTGGTAATACTTTTTATATGTGCTTTGAATTTAAATTTTTCAAAAAACTACATATATTTTATAAGTTAATATAAAACTACATATTTATGTGTAAAACTGTATTTATATATGACTATACTTGATGACTTCATTTACCACTTCTAGGAGGTTGCTATTCTTTTACCTAAACAAGCTGAATGCCATAATACATGTGTTGCCACCAGAGTCATCATAACAATACACATGTGAGAATTACTTAAATAAAAATTTATAGTTGATGAAACATTTATGTTGGAGATTCTTAATTTCCTAATCAGCAAAGCATTTATAGTTTTAAACAACACCAAGCATAGCACCTTAAATAGTTATGTATCTTACATATAGTATATTAATTTTCTAAATGAGCTACTATTTTTAAACATACAACTTAGAAGCATTTCTAATCTTGAGAAAACGTCAAATTTTCTCTCTGAAAATATTTTTCTCTTTTCTAGGGAATTTTTTTAGGTTATATGAAAAAGATGCTGCCTCATCTCTAAGGTTTACCAGAAACTTTGATTTGAAGCGAGTAAATGGATTTTGCACTAAACCACAGGAAACTCCCAAAGCGCCATCCTGTAAGTTTGTATTGGTTTTGTAGTTAATCAATAGGTATCTCTCAAAGAGTTGGACAACTCTTCAAAAGAACCTAAAAGAGATGTAGTCTTAGAGGGTCCTACATCATGCCCAAACTTGTAGTTTAAGCTTCCCGTATTGTATATGTTCACAGGCACAATAATTTCTACATTTGCCATTTTCTTCTTTCTTGCTTCAAGGGCTGGAACTGGAGCTTTAGTAGTACAGATGTATCAAAGTAAATAATAGTTTAGAAATTATCTTTTAAGGAATCCCAAAAATAAAGCCAAATCAAGAAATTACATTTTGGATATAGCAGAATCAAGACTAAGGTTTGGGTATTAACTGTAGCCACATACATTCCACATCCCTAACTCAAATCCTTGTCACTGTCACTACTATATAATATAAAAACTGATATTTATCTACTGCTGCTTCATGGAAGTCCAGAACTTACTGCATGGAAATGAACCATCCCTAAAGAATATTTGTTAAGTACTTAAAAATGTTTTTATCCTTTGACCTTGTTACTTCCAGGATCTGTCCTAAGGAATAATCACTATATTGTGGGAAAAGCTTGGAGTATAAAGACATTACCATATATATATATATATATATATATATATATATATATATA